TCAACTATTACTCAAGTATGATTTTCGATGTGTTTTTACCACACAATTATAAGCAAGTTATAAATTTTGCCACAAATGAAATAAGTTTCTATAAATCTGTTAAACAAGTAACCGTTTTTTTCTTTTTAAAGTTTATTTTTAAATACTGACCTTATCTTGTACAATTGAATTAATACAATCTAGAAGGCACTGGCTACCTTCGACGTAATGTACATACTAACATAACTTTGTTGTAATATTAATACAAATAGTTTTCTATGCCTAATATTATTTATATTAAAGATATGTATAATGGTGGGATTTTGTTAATCGTAACGATATCCTCTCTCTTAAATACATTCGAATTTCCTAATGAAGTAAAATATCTATCATTTGCGTTTAAAACAAATCTGCTCTTATTTCAAAAGTTTTAAGGAATATGTGTTTACCTGATAATAAGAACATAATATTTTTGGTTTTGACTAATACAGATAATGGCCCAGACAAATGATTGTTAATTTCTTTTGTAATCAAAATTCGTTTATTGCGCTTTCTTTAATTACCTGTATTGGAAATGTGTAAGATATATATGACTATTATATGTTTGAGCTGTAATTAACGCGTATTTGAATATTTTCCTTATTATTGCATATTGTATTTATCACTATTTCCAGTGAGTCATCATATTCCTGTTAACTAGGTTTTATTAACCATTTAGTTTCCAAATTACTCATCGTCATTTGCATAAATTTCAGGAATATATTCCAGTCATTCGGGCTATTCACCTCCCAACTTTGTAGGACTGAACCGATTCACTTGAAATTTAGTGAGCTGATGGGAATTTGCTCAAATAACAAAAGTTATATAACGCCGATGTGTGCTTCCGCCCCGGGGGTGAATATTTCAATCGAAATTTCATAAAGAAAAGAATTGGTTCGCCAAGTAATAAAACGAACAAATTGAGGTCTGACGAAATATTGCCACGTATGGATAAAAGAAGACTTATCAAAACAAAAAAAATTGAGTATAAAAACTCAATAAAAACGTTTTAGAGATTCGAAAAGCCAAAAAATAGTGGTTGAAAGGTAGATTGCACAGAAATAACTACTACTTCAACATACACGCTAGTACAAAAACGTAACAGGCCGAATAAAATCTGAAAGCCTGAACAAAATAGTAAAAAATAATAATATTATCTCTGACACTAAGATACTTCTCCATCACTGGAAAACATTTACGCAACAACTTTATGCAGGGAATACCCAGCGAAATTTTGCAGACGAATGATAAGGCTAACCTTCTACAAAATTACTTAAATCACAAATCCTAAAGCCAATAAAACAAAATAAGCAAGGGATGGAAGCAGGTCCAGATGAAATATACACAGAATAAAACTGCTAAATTACGAGAATATTAGTAATATTGGTAACAACAGTATCTACGAAACGGGCGAAATACCGCAGGACTGGCCCCAGTCTACCTTTTTACCTATTCCGATTAGTCTATTAGGTCAGGCCCTAAAACTGCTCTTTTCTTATATATTTATATATATATATATATATATATATATTATATATATATATATATATATATATATATATATATATATTAGTGTATATAACGACGCTAAAATACAATTCTTTGGTAGGTAACTTTCGGGAAAGCGTCAAATCAAGGATCGGCTAGAGATGGTGTAAGCCAGTTTGGTGTAGAACTTTATTCTAAATGTGAAATTTTCGGTGATAGGCTGTCACCTTCATCAGCACTTCATGGAAGTTAGAAGGAATATTTTTAAGAACCAAAATCAGCAGGGAAATGAAGTCTTTTCTCAAGTGCAGGTAAGTCATTTGTGTATGTTATGATAAGTTCCCTACATTCTCCAATCTGTTACATCTTGTCAAGTCAAGTCAAGGTTTGTGATCTGGGGTATGATAAAACATCAGGGGTTTATCACCACAGATCACAAAACTTTTCAGACAGTTCAACATAGTGATAGCAAATTCTGTGTACAAAAGATTAGGGACATACTTTACTCATCTGACAGAAAGAGTTAAAAAACTGGATAACTTCAATTTAGTGTATTCTATTCCATGTGGTTCTTGTTCGGAAGTGTATGTTGGTCAAACCAGCCAGAAACTCTCAAAAAGAATAGCTTTGCACAAGAGTGATGTTGTGAGGAAGCTTACTAGTACAGCTTTTAGCCAACATATTAAGAATACTGGACACATTGCTAACTATGAAAATGTGCAAGTACTAAAAAGGGTTGACAACCAATTTAAGAGAAATTTCATAGAAATGTGCTACATCCATAACTGTAGCTCTTCTACATACTGTAAGAAAGATGTTGAAAATTTAAGTTGTATTTATTCTTTTTTGCTTCAGCAGGACTTGACAAGATGTAACAGATTGGAGAATGTAGGGAACTTATCATAACATACACAGATGACCTACCTGCACTTGAGAAAAGACTTCATTTCCCTGCTGATTTTGGTTCTTAAAAAGATTCCTTTTAACTTCCATGACGTGCATATGTAAATATAACCTTGTTACATATGACATCGGGATATTGACAGAAATCAGAAACATTGTCATCAAAAAAGAAGAATAATTCTTCTTTTTTACCTTTAACATGAATTTGCGGTTTTGTGGGTTTTTAGATTTTTGATTTTTTTGTTGTGTTGTATTTGAAAAAATACCCTTTTGTGTTGTAATTTTTTTATTTTTAATGAAATTTTTTATTATTTTTAACATGTTTGTGACAGTGTTCTTCACCACTAGGACTAATTGAATATTTTCAATGTTGATTTCTACCACTTGTACTAAATAGGTTTTCCATTTAGGTGCTGATGAAGGTGACAGCCTATCACCGAAAATTTCACATTTAGAATAAAGTTCTACACCAAACTGGCTTTTATCATCTCTAGCCGATCCTTGATTTGATGCTTTCCCGAAAGTTATCTACCAAAGAATTATATATATATATATATGAGAATTATATCTATATATTATATATAATAATTTATAAGAGAGATGTAAAAGAGACATTGGTTCTACTCAGTTTGCATTCTGGCAAAGCTTCGGTACAAGGAAACAGTCTTCAGTCTGACTGTATTGCTTTAAAAATGCATCCTATGCTTCACTAATTACCAAAAAACGTGCGACTGTGTCAAACATACAGAGCTAATAAAACTGCGACAAGGTAGAACGATAGACCAGAATGAGTTAAGATTCATTAAGAACCTTTACTTAAATTAAACAGCATCGGTAAAGGTGGGAAATGAAACTACACAGAACTTCTCAATAAATAAATGTGTAAGACAGGGTCGCGTTTTGTCCCACCTACTATTTAATCTTTACTCTGAATCAATTTTTTAAAGAGCCTTGGAAGATACTCAGAAGCATGGAATAAAGATTAATAGACACGTTGTGAATAATCTTCTTCATACCGATGACGCAGTCGGAATAGCCGATAGCCAGGAATCACTACAACGTCTTATCGACAGATTAAGTGCAAAGAAAAATTTTTTAAATTTAAAAACAAATTTTTTTTCAAAGAAAAACTCTTAAAAAGTAAAAAAATGGTTTTTCTTTTCTGAATATTTTTGATTTTTTTGGTTTTCTCTAAGACAAAATTTAGTTAAGATATTGCTGTTCAAAGTTTGCATATAGTCGTGATTAGTGACTAGTACAAGTCCCTTCAACTACAACCCTTTATAAAATAAGGGTTTAAAACAAATTTATTAAAATATTCTTATTGCCCTTAAAAAACCTACAAAATGGTTATTTTAAGTACGTCGTAGCTTAAGCTAACCGAGTTATGAGTAAAAAACCAATAATATTTTGGGAGATATCAAAACGCGTATACTGGAGCATTGTAAGATACAGATAATATGCTATTAAAGGTTGTTTTTTTAAGTTGAAATAAAATAAATTCATAACATTTTTATGCAAATCAGTGGACACAAGGTATTCAATGACATTGTTTTTACTATAACTAATCTAGAGGGTGACATTTATGAGTTAAACTGTAATAAAATCTTAAATTATGTTGTTTAATGTTAATTGACATTCATTTAATTTATTAAGGCATGATTTGAATAAATTACCCTCTTTAATTTACAATTACATAATAAAAAATAAAAAGAAACCAACGGCACAAGTCCGAAAGTGAAGTGGAGGGTAAGTAGAACCTAAAAATTTTCATGCAATTTGGTGGTGACACGGAAAATTACAGGATATCGCCGTACTTTACGTTAATTTACTGGAATAATTGACTTGAATAAAAATACATGTATAAGTAGAAATAGGTATTAATGGCCTCACAAGATATTAGAATTTTATGTTGCAAATATAAAATTGTAAATTTATTATTAGATACGTGCGTATTTTCTTTGAAAACATTCATTTAATAATCATAATTTCCGTTCGCTAATTGTTTTTTTTAACTTTCCGCTAATAAATTTTTAAACTTCCCTTAAAAATTAATATACAAACCCTGGCTTTTAGATCTTTTTAATGATTAACTATGAGACCAATTAGAGACAAATTCTTGTTTCCTTTAAATCAGTGTACTAATAAATTATGATTAGACATGTTTTACTTTGAAAATATGCAATGGCATTGAAACAGCTGTCATGAGTCCCTTTTGGTACTATTTATATAAAACGTATTTTTGGCTCATACATAAAATTTACTTTATTAAATATATCAGATCTCACGTTTTGATGTTTTCTATTTAAGCAATTGTTTCGAAAACTATTTAAAATTATTACATACCAATTACTTATTACAATTGACGTCTCATAAAGTGTCGTACCTACCAGCTGTCTCCAAGGTCAAATAAATAGTGGAGGTAGAACTTTGTATTAAAGCGTTATATCTATATATCCTATATTAGAATGGAGAGATTTCTTGTTAAACTATAAAAATATAGTAAACAAACCAACCAACACTTTTCTTTAATGTCACAGAAACTCGATAATATCGACAACACTGCACAAAATCACAACTCAAAAACTCACCTGCAAATTTTCAAAATCCTTGCTAGTGCCCGACGAACTCCACTTACTCGTAGAAACCGAATGCGTTTTGATAACTTGCAGTCGTCCCCCAGGTATTTCGCTGGAGAAGACTTCCAATTGTCGTCTGGCGCTCTGGTGGAGAGCACCGTCTGCGTCAGTTCGAGCTCTCGAGTCCACTACCTGCGAATGCAAGAAATAATAGAATAGATTGTATTCGACTATGGCGATGCGATTCAGTTATGGTGCGGTTATTGTGGGCGATTTTCGGAAACCGGGCTATGGAGGTGGAGGTGGGCAAGTTAGGTGGTGCGAAGAAGATTAAAAGTATAGGTTGGAAGCTCTGGGTCAAATAAAAAGATAATATGTAATGAAGGATGATGTGCCAATTATGTGGTTTAAGAATCAGTAGGAAGATTAACTTTTTAACAACTATTTTTAGTAGTAGAAATATGTTTATAATTGATTTATATTGCGTATATTTCGTTTTTCGTTTTTTATACAAAAAAAAATAAAATAAAATAAAATTGGTCCATAACAAGTTTTACTGTACCAATTTTCAATAAGTTTTATTTTCCTTACATTTACGTATTTATTACTCTACAATTTTAATCGGTGCAGCTATAACTTAAAAATATATATTAATTTTTAAATATTAATAAAACAGCTAATAATTAACTATTAATAAAATAAATTTTATCACAGGAAGCCAAAAATTATTAATATTTTTAGTTGCTAATAACATCTTACGATTTAGAGAATAAATTATAAATTTAATATGGTGTAACATGGCAAATAACACACTCGTATTTTTCTTATTCTTCTTTTTTATCGGCAGCAGCGTGAAATAATTCTTCTAGTGTTTTTTCTTTCTTCTCACAATCCTACCGATTGTGGTGGATTGAGTGTGATACTGTGGTACCACACCATTGTCTAATATTATGCAGCCATGAAAGTTTCTTTTAACCAATCCATCTCTTTCCCTCCACTTTTTCTTGTATTATAAGGAGAAGTAGATGGTATTCTGCTTTTCTGCTTTTGATGATGTTTGTTTGCATTTACTACTAAAAGTCATCCATAACCGAATATATTACAAACTAGACATAGACGTTAGTGATACACAATTTGGTTTTCGCAAAGGCCTGGGAACGCGTGAAGCTCTTTTTTCACTTAATATACAAAGATGCCTGGACATCAATCAAGATATTTACGCGTGTTTTATTGACTATAATAAAGCATTTGATAAAGTACGACATAAACAATAAATAAATGTGTAATAAATTTGAAATCAAAGAAGATTGACTACAACGACCTTAGGATCATATAAAATTTATACTACAAAAAGCGAGCAAAAGTACGTGTTAACGACAGCTGTAAAAAAATTGAAATTAGATGTAAAGTGAGCCAGGGATGCATATTGTTGCCAATTCTTTTTAATGCCTACTCCGAAGAGATCCTGAAAAACGCTCTTAAGTTCCCATTAACAACATTAGATGTGCGGACGACACTGTGATCTTAGCCAAAAATAATAAAGATCTTCAGAAACTGGTGACCAGAATAGCGGAGTATGGAAAAGAGTATGGTCTAACAATGAATGTCAAGAAGACGAAATTTATGAGAATATCGAAAACTCAAAGAAATAACGAGAATCTTCTAATAAACGGAACCAACGTCGAACGAGTGAACAAATATGCATATCTGAGAACAATGATTAACTCCACAAATAATTACGTTCAAGAGACCAAAATCAGAATAGAAAAGGCTAGAGCAAATGTCAACAAATTGAGAAGAGTGCTATGTACAAGGGATTTAAAATTGGAACTAAGAGTTAGGTTAGGTTGACGAGGTGCTGAGATGTTTTTTCGACTTTATTTTATTAAATGGAATCTTGGACCTTGAATGCTACATCCATGAAAAAACTGGAATCATTCCAGCTGTGGGTGTATAGAGGAATTCTGAAAATATCGTGGACAGAACACATCACAAACAAAGAGGTTCTGAAAAGGATGAATAAAGAAATAGAAATTTTAAATACAATTACAACAAGAAAATTGGAATATCTCAGACACATTACACGTGGAAAGAAATACACCATGCTCCAACTGATTATGTAGGGAAAGATTCAAGGAAAGAGAAGCATAGGGACGCGTAGAATATCATGGCTGCGCAACCTGAGAGAGTGGTACGGATATACATCAATTGAACTTTTCAGAGCAGCCGTCTCAAAAGTCCGAATAGCTGTGATGATTGCTGACCTCCCCCGCTTAGAAGGCACTTGAAGAAGAAGAAGTTAGCATTCGTTCTGAATTTATTATTTTAAAAACATTTTCATCGGAAGTGGCGTAATCCATAATATTTTTAGGATTCGTCGATAGCAACACATTTCAAATGCTTCTAATTTGTTAAGAATTGTGGTTTTTAATGTCCATGTTTCACAATCATATAATAAGATATACCATACATAACAATATAAGATATGTTTGCATATACATATTTGCATATATATATATATATATATATATATATATATATATATATATATATATATATATCGACAGATTTTTGTTAGATAAAACTAGTTTCCAGGTTTTAAAAGCCTTACGTGATATTTCAATCCTGGTTATTATCTCTTCATCAGAGTTAAAATTTACATTTAACCAGCTGCCAAGATATTTAAAATGTTTTACTCCCCATTAAGCAAAAGCAAAATATTCCGTTTCGCATCTATGTTTATTTTAAACTCATTTGTCATAATAATAATATATTTATTTTGTATCTGTATTCAAACATACGCTCCACTGACTAGAGCGCTTCATGGTTTTATCCGTTAAATGGAGAAGCCAGCTTTGGCGCGAACAACCTCACTTCGTTCTGAACACTAGACCAAGTCAGTCTCTATTCTACATCGTCAACTTATTTACGGTAATTTGTATAAAGTACGTAATAAAAGTGTATCAAAACTCTTACAATTTTCTTCAGACGTATCTCATAGCTGATAATCATCTTCTTTCCAAAATTACTTGGGAGCTTCTTATGGCATGAATCTGAAGACCATAAGACATTTGCATTTGGATATAAAAGAAATAGCCTTTTTATTCCGGTTTCTTCTGTGGCTTTGACCATTTCTGCTGTTATCATATCTGGACCTGGTGCTTTGTTATGCTTGAGTTTACTGATCGCCAGTCTTATTTCATTTTCCAGTATGTTAGGTTATTGTTCGATTTCTTCAGGAGTTTGGTGATTGTCAGAAGTTCCTGGCGTTGATCATCTACGTTTCTCGGCAATAAATATTCTCCATGTCTGCTATATCGTTTTCTTGGTTCTCAGAGTTCTTGTGTAGTCTTCACGGCCCAAATTCTGGCTTTATAGTCTCTTTTTATGTATCGTATTTTTCTAAATAGATCTCTTGCTGAGATTAATTTGCATATATTCTGAAATGTGGAAATAAGGAACGTTAAAAATCACATAAGGAAACAAATCAAAAAAGAAATCTTTGAAGCATGCTTATTAAAACCCTAGTAAGCGTACTATGGCCCAGTGCTACCGCAGGAATTAAGAAACAGTAGAGTCTCCTTTATCATTACTAGTAACTCTAGTAAGCGGACTATGATCCAGTGTTACTGCAGGAATTAAGAAACAGTAGAGGCTCCTTTATTATTACCAGTAACTGCCAAGATTGTAATATAATTAGTGCAGCATCAACAGCAAGGATTGGCCGGACTGGACCGGAATAAAAAGGAATAAAAATGCTATTTCGTTCATATCCACAGACTTTGATCTTTATTAATCTTTCCAACTGATGATATATTGCTTCACTGTCTAGATTTACGAATGTATAAAGATCTTGTAAATTTTGTTGATTACTTCTCCGCCTAGTTTTACTCCCACTTGCCCAAAGCCTCCTTAAAGATTAACCCTGTCTTACTCCTCGTCTGATATGTATATCTGATGTTGTGTGCTCTATGATGAAGGACATGGGACATTAAGTTTAATATACCATAATCATCGCATTGGGAGGAATTTGATTTTTTTGGTAATGCTACGAATGTTGATTTTAGCCAGTCTGTTGGTATTTTACCTGTGTCATATATCTAATTGAATAGTGCTGTTATTGAGTTTAAGCTTTTACTTTCGTTATCTGCAATTAGTTTTAGTATTTCGACATTGATATTTTCTGGATTGGTGGCTTTTCCATCTTTCTAAGATTCTATTGCGTGAATCACTTGTTCTTTGGTGATTAGTTGGCTTCTATTTGAAGCCACAGCATACTTAATAGTTCTTAGAAGCATCTGTGTAGATAATTTCATGAAAAATGTTTTATACACAAAATTTATATCATTTTTTTAGGGAGGTTTAGGTGAAATGAATATTGGAGTTTTGGCTGACAGATCAATATTTTTATGTTAAAGAGATAATTACTAAGTAAATTATATGCTAGATTTTCTGTAATAACTGATTTTTGAGCCGAATATTTTAAATGGAGTTGCCGGCATTTTAGGCAGAGAGGGAGTCATTAGTATCTTTATAAGCGGAGCTAGACTTGGAAGGCGAATGAACACAACCCCGGATTTGCTCAACATCGTGAAGGGCCGTAAGCTGCAGTACTTGGGATATATAATGAGAGATCAAGGCAGATACGAGCTACTCGAATGCATTTTGCAAGGTAAAATTGAAGAAAAAGGGGCCCCAAGACGAAGAAGAATATCCTGGCTTGTTAACCTCAGAGCATGGTATAGATAGACCTCAACATAGCTATTCAATATAGCAACCAACAAAGTCATCATAGCCAGAATAATCGCCAACGTTCGGAATGAACAGGCCCCCTAAGAAGAAGAAGACTTGAAGGCTCCAAGGCAAAAGTGCAGTGTTGGGACAGAATTGAAAGTTTTAAATTTAATTGGCGGATTGACGTACAAATGAAACTACAGTAGTGTATTTTAGATCGAATAAGACACCTATAAATCTCAAGAAGGACTTCTTCGTCTACACACTAATGATGATTAGATATAGTTTTCAATATATTAAGTTTTGTATTACATTTAGTTTTCGACGATTTAGATGGCATTGACAAGTTGTAGTATCGAATATGAGTCCTAAAATTTTTATATTTTTACAACAGATAGACAATTACAGTTTGTAATTATTTTAGGATTTACATTACTGACTGCCGTTAAGAAAAGTTG